CTTAAAAATCCTGGCGCAGTATTCAAAGGATTTGGGGTTAGTGACATCATATACCAGGCATACAACATCACAAATGATCTCAGCCTCAGTTAGAAACTCCGATTCTGAGATATCATGCAACTGGTAAAAAGAAAAAGATAATGAGAAACACAAGTATCACAATTTTGATAAAGTCATGATGTATTATAATTGTTTGGTTGGACATCCTAATAAAAAACTCCTGGTTAATCGTAACTTTTCAGACCATTTTTAGAAGTAGAAAGTATAAACAAACAAGTATTTTTTTGCTGATTTTGTGCATTAAAAATGTTGGTGATTAAGAATCTACAGAAGCTAGCATTCAGTGACTGACTGATGTGCTGCTGGCAAGCCTTTTCTGTATATTGTCTACACTCTATAGATAGGGAAACAGGTTAGAATAAGTCAAGTACAAAAGACAACATACCTAAGAAGTCATCAGACCAAAATGTGAACTCAGATATAATTGCCAAGTGTATTATTTTTCTTACCACACTAACTTTTCTCCGAACAAAACCACTAAGCAAAAGACTTTTTAATTAAAGTCATTTGATTGTACTGCACTGCCTTATCTTTTCAATGTTTATTATATTTCCTGAAGAAATATACTGGGCTGGGGATGTAGCTCAGTGGTACAGTATGTGCTTAGGCCCTGAGTTCAATCCTTAATACTGGGGGAAAAAAAGAAGCTGTGACTGAATATATTCAAATAAAACACCATTATAGCAATGCATAGTCAGAGACATGAAAGATACAACTTGCAAAAATAGTGTAATAATAATAAAACAGGGGGCTGGGGATGTGGCTCAAGTGGTAGTGCGCTCGCCTAGCATGCATGAGGCACTGGGTTCAATTCTCAGCACCACATAAATGTAAAATAAAGATATTGTGTCCACCTTAAAAAAAAAAAACTAAGAAACAAATATTTAAAAAATTAAAAAATAATAATAATAAAACAGGAAAATTAACAGTCAACAATATTAACTAAGTACCTAATATCTAAAACTATATTTATAGGAGACTAGGAGACAAAGGGATGTAATAAGAAGCTGACAAACATCAGAAAGAGTAAAATATATGTAATATTCAATGTGATAATTTGGTAAAATAAATATATCCAAAAAGAAATAGACAAATGAATTTTCTAATATGTCTATTATTTGTTAGAAACTTTTCATTGAGGATCTAACTTATTAAGAAATAAGCTCAGAGAGAATAAGCCACTTGCTCAAGGTCACAGAACTTATCAATGGTGGACCAAGGTTATATTGAACCTCTTTTTACTGTATTTTGTGGTATCTTTTCAGTCAGATCCTTTCATACATTTTTATGCTATACTCCTTCCTGCTAAGTAGATAAACTTGATTCAGATTATAGGTAAACAAACAAGCATCAGCACTGTTTTCATATTAATTTTTAGTGAATAGCAGTAGAATTTTTAAAAAGTCAAAATGGGAGACTAAAAAGTAAGTTCATTTTCTTCTGTTTTACTTTCTACAGGTGATTTTTTTTTACTTATATGTATATTCACGTAATAATCACATAGATCAAAGGAATTAATATTCTAAGGAACAAACTAGGAGGGGGAGAAATCATACACAGAGTCTACTTCAGACATTAAATTAAAGTCATTTTGTTTCTGTCATTTTAAAATGTACCAATTAAAATTTTTATATTGAGAATTTCTTACCAACAAGTATTTCTCTTGTCCATATACATAAACAGTATTAATTGCATAGTAGGATTTATGATCGTCGCGGATTTTCTTCTGTCTCTGAAAACAGAACCAAACATCTCAATATTTATAGGAAGGAATTACTAGTTTTCATCAATACACACACTTGTAGGTGGTTTATAAATAAAAGGGCATTCTTCTCTATACTAAATACTATTTATCAGTATAAAAGGGATGTTAATTTTATGTTTTTTAGTTTTTAGGGTCTAAGAAAAAATATGCATTTGTTTTGCACAAAGCAAAAGCAGTAGGTTAAGAGGAAGTAAACTGTATTTTTGAAAGTAGATTCTAGAGCCATTGCTGACAATTCACATTACACTATAGTTTGGTCTGATATTGGCCTCATCTGGAAATATGTCAGTTTTACTCAAAGTAAACAGAACTAGGTATTAGTATTCAATTTGAAAGATTTACCATGCATTTATTTCCTGCCAAGGACTATTTGAGGTGCTTTTGTATGTGTAGTCATTTAATCATCATCTAAATAACTGTTTTTTTAAAAAATGAGGGGTGTGCTCAGGAGAGGAGACCTGATGAATGGCCTCTCTGTTTATAACACACCCAACAGAAATCTGGGTTTACTCATCACAGGAAGCAGAATATATTGGCCTTCCTGTGACATCATGCCCTATACATGTTAAAACAAAAACAAAAACAAAAACAAAAAAAAAGAAGAAGAAGAAAAAGAAAAAAGGCAAATGAGAGCAGGGCACAGTGGCACATGCATATTAATCCCACCTACTTGGGAAGCTAAGGCAGGAGGACTGTAAGGCCAGCCTCAGTAATCAAGCAATACCCTGTCTCAAAGTAAAAAACAAAAAATAGAAGGGTTTTTATATATATATATATATATATATATATATAAATATAAATATAAATAAATACACACACACACACACACACAGCTAACACCAATGAAACACTTTACTAATATATATAGGGCAATGAGCTCTAGTAATCATCTAAAAAGGTTAATAATGGCTATAAAAATTACGTAAACTACAGAAATTTGTTGGATATAATTCTATATTCTGAGAACTCTCACCATTAAGTTTCTTCCAAGAAGAGCCTGAAGAATTCCACTTTTCCCACAGCTTTTCATTCCAATTACATTACATCTGAACACATTTCTTTGAGTCTGTTTTTTCTGAAGGTCTATCTTTTTATCTCTTGTTACTAAAAAGAAAAAGAAACACTAAATATGTACCAGATTCTTGGAGCTTCATTCCACCTTCTCAAAATAAGGTATTGCTATTTATCACTTTTATGCAGTATCTAATCTACAAAAACACATAAAATAGGCAAGCTTATGTAAAATAAAGTAATACATATAATGCAGAAGGGTATAACTTAGTGGAAAAGATGCATTTCTGAAAGTTGACTATAAATTTTCAGTAAAAAATGATAGTTTGCATAAAATAAGCAGTATATTTTCACTAGGAAAATATCCTAAAAATGAATAAAAATTACAATGAATATATCTAACATTATATCCTATCTAATTTGATGTTATTGTCACATAGAATGTGAGTGTAGCTCAATAGTAGAGAGCTTTCCTAGCATGTGTAACGCTAAGGGTTCAATTCCCAGTACTACCAAAAAAAAAAAAAATTATTGGCATAACAAATTATCAACTATGAATGCTATTTGAAACCTGCAACCTCTTGGAGCTAGAAAGAGATTTTTACTCTTGGGTTAACTGGGTTCTTAGGCATCAATTGTCAAAACAAGCATGACAGAAACAATATTGTATCATTAGGAAAATGGGACATCTCTTCTTGAGGTAAAGAGAGCTCCTTAAGCTATACCCAAAGGTACAACAACAGTAGAGCCCATCACAGACACTACTGATTATAGCAAAGTCAAAATGATAGAAATACACAATAATTATGTAAAAGTTAAGTACATTATAGAATACTATACAATGGCACAATATTTCACATTAAAGATATATAGAAGTATACTTATTGATACGCAAAGATGTTCACAACATGTTCTTGAGTGAAAGAACCCCAGAGCTGGCTAGAAATTAACTGCTTACTCTTTGGTGCTGAATTAAATACTAATAATTAGTTAAAAACTTGAAAGGGTACTTGTTCTGTCAGTTTAAGTAGGTTATCTTCTGGGGCTGAGGTTGTAGTTCAGTGATAGAGCACTTGCCCAGCATGTATGAGGCTCTGGGTTTGATCCTTGGCACCACATAAATATAAACAAATAAAATAAAGGTATAAAAAACTACAATAACATTATTAAAAAAAAAAAAAAGGCTAGCTTCTTGTAAGAGCTTCCTGTAACACATAGCAGAGTTTCCATCAATTGGTATATAAGAAAATACTATAATGACCAATTGCTAAATTTCTTATTTTCATACCTATGAATTTCCTTTAAATGAAGTACACTGCTTTGGCAAGAATGTGTGGTTTACAATTCAAGATCTGTGAAAGATTTATTAATAAGGAAAAAGACTACAAAGTTGATAAATGTATAATTAGTTCCAGACTGAAATCAACTGTTTAAGTTTTTTTTAAAGTGGCCTAACATATGCTAGGCAAGTGCTCTACCACTGAGTCACAACCCTAGCCCTCCAAATTTTTTTTTAATTTTTATATGTATTTTTAGTTGTTTATGGACCTTTATTTCTATTGTTCTTTCTTTCTTTTTAAGTGGCATTTTGATGACAGTAATTCCCACTGCCTTTTTTAAAAAAGATTTACTTTTTAGTTGTAATTGATTTTTATTTGGTCCTAAGAATCGAATGCAGCGCCTCGCACGTGCTAGGCAAGCGCTCTAAAACTGAGCCACAACCCCAGCCTGGCATTGTTTTTAATGTTCAAAGAAAATTAAAATGCAAGACAGATTGGTAAACCCTTTAATGTCCATAGTTCTTCCCCATCTTCATTAGTGGAGTATCCCAAGGCAGTATATTAGAAACAAAAACTCTACTCTTTTTTTTTTTTTTTGACAAACAATAAAATCAGGCATCACAACTCAAAAGAAAGTACTAAATCTTGAGGAAAACTAATACAGTGTAGACATGGAAAACTAAGGAAGATGAGTTTACTTTTATTCTTTGTAACATTTGAAACTAGAGTCTAAAAATGTTCCTAATCATAAACTGAATAGTAGCCAACGCTTACCTGTAATGGCTGAAGCTTGAGACTCTTGTTCAGTCAATATGGAATAGCCTAGATAGCCCAAATATTCTAGGCACCGCTGTACATCTAAATAGGTTGTGAGCCTAAGGAAGGGAAGGTTTACACGGTGAAAAGTTCCTAAATGAACACTCATGAGGGGAAAACATTTCCAACAGCTCAAAAAATGTTTCCTACTAGACCCAGTGTTTGTCACACTACTTCAATTTCCTGTGTACCCAACCATGGGGCTGCCATTCTTTTTTCTTTATTTGGCATGGTACTGGGGATTGAACCCAACGGCACTCAACTGCTGAGCTACACCCCYAATCCTTTTTATTTTATTTTTTGAGACAAGGTTTTGTTAGGTTGCTAAGGCTGGTCTTAAACTTGTGATTCTCCTGTCTCAACCTGCAGAGTTGCTAGAATTATAAGGCATATACCACCACCACTGCTGACTGCTATACTGCCATTCATTTTTTTTTTTTAATTTATTTCTTAGTTTTAGTTGGACACAATGCCTGCATTTTTATTTATTTATTTATTTATTTATATGTGGTGCTGAGGATCAAACCCAGGGCCTCCTCACATGTGCTAGGCGAGCACTTTACCACTGAGCCACAACCCAAGCGCCCCCCGCCCCATACTGCCATTCTTTTTTTTTTTTTTTTAATTTTTAATATTTATTTTTTAGTTCTCGGCAGACACAACATCTTTGTTGGTATGTGGTGCTGAGGATTGAACCCGGGCCACACGCATGCCAGGCAAGCGCGCTACCGCTTGAGCCACATCCCTAGCCCCCCATACTGCCATTCTTAAAGCAGAAAGAAAGGGAAGAGAATGCAAGATGGGGCAAATTCCCCTATCTATTCCACTGCCAGAGAAAGCAATGCCACACAGATAAGCAGATAGTGCCTTTAAAAACCACAGTAGGAATATTTTAATTATCTGCTTCCCAAGTGGGTTGGGAAGACTCAATGATAATTTTAAAAAATCAGAAAAGGACTGACAAAAGAACAAAAATAACTAAAAGACTTATGAAATCAGCTATCCTTTCTTATGTATTTGAAAAAAGATCCTAATGTTGAAAAAGTTAGTCTCACCAAGGTTAAAATAATTATGTCATCACACAAGACCAGGGAATTCCCTGAAGACACTAAATACAATGTCAACCAGAACATAACAAAGCTGTAGACAAATCTTCTCTAAACTTTACTAAAATTTTATTAATAACAACAAATAATGCAGTCAGACCTCAGTGTCCAATAAAATATGCTACTCCTCATATGCTGAAGGAGTAATTGTGCAATAGCAATGTCATTTCCAATTCTTTCTTTTTTTAAAAAATATTTTTCTTAGTTGTTGATGGACCTTTATTTTAATTATTTATTTACATGCAGTGCTGAGGATCAAACCCACATGTGCCTCACACATGCTAGGCAAGTGCTCTACCACTGGGCCACAACCCCAGCCCTCCAAATTTCTTTTTTTAAAAAAAATCTTATGTATATTTTTAGTTTTGATGGATCTTTATTTTTATTCATATATTTATATGCGGTGCTGAGAATCTAAACCAGTGCCTCACACATGCCAGGTAAGTACTCTATCACTGAGCCACAACCCCAGCCCCAATTTTCTTAATCAAACAAAAAAGTATTAAAATGAAGTTCATTTTTGATGTAAGACTTAGATTACTGTTTCCTAGTACATCATCCAAAGAAAATAATCCCTTCCTGATAAATCTATAAAGTGTTTATAATCCCAGCAGCACTACAAATCCTGCTTAAGAAACAGTTATGATTGAAGCATTTCATAGGCTCTGACAAGCTTACAAAACGATGAATATAATATACCACAATTTTAAACTAGTGGTAGTTCTAGAGGAAAGAAGTGAGCTCTATACTCACGTCCACTGGGAAAGGAATCCCTGATAGGTTATCCAGCCTTTTTCATTTGTACAAACTGTGTTATTCACATCTGGTCCCCAAGGTATATAAGGGAAAACTTTGAATAAATCCTTAAGTTCATCAGGTGACAAAGCACAGTCTCTATCCTGACAAAACACAAGGAAGTATACATAATGTTTAGATATCCAAGAGAATAATTCTCAAACACAAAATCCCCATAGTCCATGAAAGACTTGCCTCTAAAAATGTGAATTAACAAACAATAAGAAATTTTACATTTCATCAAAACTATAAAAATATAATAATGAATCTATCAGAAACTACACTTTTTCATCCCCAAGAAAACAATGAAAGTAAAAGTAGAAAATATTTTTGCTAGTTGCACTTGGAGAGATTGAACAGTTTGGGCTACATACATAAGTATCACATTGCTAAGGAAACAGAGAAAAATCTCCCACAGAAGAATATTTTACCATATATCATGGAAAATGTCAGCTAAATGCTCACCAGATCATGTTTGTCAAAGGTGCTTTGGAGAAACAAATATGCATGATGATTTAATTCAGTAGTGCAATCAGGAGGTATTTTTAGCCTGTTAATGAAAAAATTAAAAAATAAATCATTAATCAGATATTAAAATTTAATTTAAGAAATGAATACAAAATTGCAACAAGTGTTTTTGTGGGATGCCACTATTTACAAAATTTTCTTCCCCTGGAGCATTTAGACTTTCCCAGGGTAAGTCTCTGGAGTATAACACTCCTCAGAAGAGTCATAATAATGCTTTTTCCAAAATAACATAGATCCTGGGCTGGGGATGTGGCTCAAGCGGTAGCGCGCTMGCCTGGCATGCGTGCAGCCCGGGTTCGATCCTCAGCACCACTTACAAAAATGTTGTATCTGCTGAAAACTAAAAAATAAATATTAAAAAAAATTCTAAAAAAAAAAAAATAGATCTTTTTCCAAATATCAGAAGGGCAAATAGTAATGATTAAAATTTTACAAATTTTACAAATAGTAATGATTAAACTATAATAGATTTGTTTTTCCTATAAACAAATCATCACAATTATGGCCTTAATATCAATGCCAATATGTAACAACTTGAAAATGATATGAATAGATGTTATTTCACCTTTTGAACCATCTTAAATTTAGTTCAATAAATATTAATCAAATTCACTGAACTAGGTATTAGGGAGACAGGCTCTCTACTTTTTTTTTTAAACTGACATTTAATATTTATACTTATTTAAAAGAGAGAGAATTTTTTAATATTTATTTTTTAGCTTTTGGTGGACACAACATCTTTATTTTATTTTTATGTGGTGCTGAGGATCCAAACCAGAGCCCCATGCATGCCAGGCTTGAGCTACATCCCCAACCACTTATTTTTTTAATATTTTTTTTTACTTGTAGGTGGAAACAATGCCTTTATTTTTATTTATTTATTTTTATGTGGTGCTGAGGATCCAAACCAGAGCCCCATGCATGCCAGGCTTGAGCTACATCCCCAACCACTTATTTTTTTAATATTTTTTTTTACTTGTAGGTGGAAACAATGCCTTTATTTTTATTTATTTATTTTTATGTGGTGCTGAGGATGGAACCCAGCACCTCACTTGTCTACACGAGCATTCTACCATTGAGCCACAACCCCAGCCCTATTTATACTTATTTGTGGGATATATACTATTACAGTTTGATACATGTATACAATGTATAATGATCAAATCAGTATAATTAGCATTTCTGTTTTTCAAATATTATCATTTCTATATGCTGGAAACATTCAAACTCTTAATTTTTTTTTTTTTTTTTGTACTAGGAATTGAACTCAGGGGCACTTGACCCGAGCCACATCCCCAACCCTATTTTGTATTTATTCATTTATTTATTTTTAAAAGAGAGAGAGGGGGGAGAGGAGAGAGAATTTTTAATATTTATTTTTTAGTTTTCGGCAGACACAACATCTTTGTTTGTATGTGGTGCTGAGGATCGAACCCGGGCCACACGCACGCCAGGCGAGCGCGCTACTGCTTGAGCCACTTTCCCAGCCCCCCTATTTTGTATTTAGAGACAGGGTCTCACTGAATTGCTTAGGCTGGCTTTGAACTCATAATCCTCCTCCTTCAGCCTCTCATACCACTGAGATCACAGATGTGGGCCACCACATCCATCTTTCTCTAATTTTGAAATATTCAATTAATTGTTATAGACTGGGGCTGGGGTTGTGGCTCAGTGGTAGAGCACTTGACTAGCATATGTGAGGCACTGGATTAGATCTTCAGTACTAGACAAAAATAAATAAATAAAACAATAAATAAATAGATAAAACAGAACTACTCCCCCTGCCACTGTATTTTGATACACATTATTAATAATCTACCCTGCATCACTCCCCTTATTTACCTCTAGTGACCTCCATTCTACTCTCTACTTCTTTATGATTAACCTTTTTAGCTTCTACAAATGAGTAAGAAAATGTGGTATTAGTCTTTCTGTGCCTGGCTTATTTCATTTAACATAATGTCATCCAGTTCTACCAATGACAGGATTTCATCCTTTTTATGGCTGAATAATATTCAATCATATATATGCGCTATTTTAAAAATTCATTCATCCATAGATGGACATTTCTGTTGATTCCTTATCCTGGCTATTGTGACTAGTGCTAAAGAAACACAGGAGTATAGGTATCTCTCTGATCTAATAATTCCCTAACTAGTAGCAAGGGTATGGGATCAGATGGTAGCTCTATTTTCAGGGTTTTTTGTTTGTTTGTTTTGTTTTTATTACAGAGATTGAATACAGACAGGGACATCTACTACTGAGCTATAATCCAAGCCCTTTTTATTTATTATTTTGAGACAGGGTTTTGCTAAGTTGCTAAGGCTGGCCTTATACTGTGATTCTCTTGCTTCAGCCTCCCAAGTCGCTGGGACTATGGGCACGTGCCACCATGCCAAGCTATTTTCAGTTGTTCTGAGGAACTTCCATAGTATTTTCCATAATGGCTGAACTGATTTGCATTTCCACCTACAGTGTTTGAGAGTTTCCTTTTCTTCTCATCTTTACCATTTTTGTGTGTGTGTGTGTGTGTGTGTGATTTTGATAATGATAGGCTCCCTATTTCTAAGGAACCACATTCAAGTGGGAGGCAGACCACAAACAGATGTCAACAGAATGAGGTAAGTGCTAAGTACGTAAGTTAAGGATGCTAGAAGAGCTTCCATGGAGGGGAACATCTCTGGCCTGGGAGTGGGAAGGTGTCAATATTGCTAAGAGTCACTGTCACCTAAACTGAAACTTGAAGTATGAGGCATTAATAAGATTGGGGAAAAGGAGAGAGAATGATAAAAAGCATAGATGAAGGCCTGGAGTAGGAAACAACATATGTTTTGTGGACTAAAAATAGTTTGGTATTTAATTCTAGAATGAAGGCAGGGGAGAGCATGAGCAGAGGAGGTTATGAATGACCTCAGATACCACATTAAGAAGCTTGACTTTGGGGGCTGGGGTTGTGGCTTAGTGGTAGAGCGCTTGCCTAACATGCATGAGGCACTGGGTTCGATCCTCAGCACCACATAAATATAAAATAAGGATATTGTGTCCACCTAAAACTAAAAAGAAATAAATAAATATTAAAAAAAGAAGCTTGACTTTATGCTGTGCCTTGAAGAGAAGTGACATAGCCAAATTTCTGTGTATATGTATGTAAATGTACACATACACTAATCTAGTAGCAAGGTGAAGAACAGAACAGAAAGATTAATAAGAAATAAAAATGCAAATGGTGGCTCTAGGGGATTATTTTACAGAAAGTTAAATGCAGAAAGTATAAAGAAACTCAAAGAGATGATTAGTATAAGCCACAAAGCAATAAGAGATGGCACTTCCTAACTGTCTTAAAAAAGCAATAAGCAACCACCTATAGAATATATTTGCCCACATAAACAGCACAAGAAAGAAAACTTTTGAGGGGTCCTAGGACTAATTCATTCATTATGTATTTATCAAAAAATCTGGGAAATTAACTTTAAAATTTTTTTTTCAGTTGTAGATGGACACAATATCTTTATTTACTTATTTTTATGTGGTGCTGAGGATCGAACCCAGGGCCTCACATGTGCTATGCAAGCTCTATACCACTGAGCTATAACCCTAGCCCCTGGGAAATTAACTTGAGCCAAGATTTAGTACCTTAGACAAGCAAAGCTTGAACTTAGAACTGATGAAAGAACCAGGAATTTAATCTGAAAGACTTCTGATTCCAATGGGGAAGGGAACAACTACGTCTTTCTGAACCATTACATAGTTAGCTGGAGATGTGATTCTAAAATTTAAAAAAGACATTATGGAATAACACCATGAAAAAGGGAGGAAGAAAGATCAAAGGCTCCAAAGCCAGATCTTGGGAAGTCATGAACTTTGAGAAGTCCGTGTCCCCAGGGTAAAGAAGAGGCATCCTATGGCACATCACTCTTCTATATGAGATGGCACTGGGTCCACTTTTAAATAAACAGTATTTAAACAGCATTATCAAAGGAAAATAAAACAAACTGACCAGGTATTTAGGGAAAATACTTTATCCTGAGCTAATAACGGGCTATAAAATTGAAGAACTAAAGAAAAATGCATATTTTTGATCTCTTGATGCAAAACCAAGTTTATATGGCTTCTTTCTCCTTCTCCAGTAAAAATGAATTAAAAAAAAAAATAACTTGTATTCTCTGTGAGAAGAAGAGCAAGAATTTGAGCCCTGCTATAAGTCTGTAGCTCTCAAGGATGGATGTTTTAGTTTCTAAGAAGATACCTGGCAATTTCTGGAGATATTTTTGGTTGTCACAGCTAAGGAAAGAAAGAGGTGTTACTGCCATCTAAGTATGCCCAACATCTCAAATGCACAGGACAAGCTGTATAGGAATTATCTGGTCCAAAATGTTGATAGTGGCAAAACTGAGAAACCCTGCTACAAACCTTTGCCTATAAATCTAAATTACTCCTGAGGAGCTTGAAGCCTGCCAATCTGTATGCTAAATAAAACTTAAAAATACTTGGCAAGTGGGCTGGGGTTATAGCTCAGTGGTAGTGCTTGCCTGGCATGTGTGAGGCACTGCGTTCGATTCTTAGCATCACATATAAAAAAATAAAATAAAAAAGCCCACCAACAACTAAAAAAACAATTTGAAAAAAAAATTAGAAAACCAAAGGTACATACAAGGGGAATAAATATTCAGGTGTTAAATCCAAATCATCATCATAACCAAATCGTCGAAGTACAGTCCAAGTAGTTTCATGTCTYCCTCTCTGGATAAACAGCGTGTGTAAAAAGAGAAAACCTGAAATAAAGTAAATACAATAGATGTAAAGGAAGGTACAGGGTCACACAAGAGAAAAGCATATAATTGCAAGAGCTAGATTTGTAAATATTAATATACCAGTTTCATGGTGAAGATCAAAACAAAATTCACAACTGCCTTAATGAAACAGAGTTCATTTCAGAGTTGAGTTACATATACACCCAGCTCAGCAAGACACCACTGGATGAAAGGGCCAAAATTACGTTCCAAGGAATACATGTATCACAGTTATATGATGGAAGCAAATGAAAATGTTTTTTAGATTTTGAGTTTATTTCTTTTTTTTTTTTTTAAATATTTATTTATTTTTTTTTTATTTTATCGGCGGACACAACATTTTTCTTGGTATGTGGTGCTGAGGATCGAACCCGGGCCGTACGCACACCAGGCGAGTGCGCTACCGCTTGAGCCACATCCCCAGCCCTTGAGTTTATTTCTATAATGGAAAATTCTGGAATTCAATTTTATTTCTTATTTCACTTGTGGCTCTATAATATATTCAACAGGGAATATTCTATACTTGATAAGTATGACTTGTAGACAAAATTCTCTGAAAATAATTTCTATTTAAAGACTATTTATGAGTAGAAGACTTTAAGATAAATTTATTTGTTCCAGATATCTCTTTCCTTTAGATGGTCCTGAGCATCCCTGAGATGGGCCCAATTAAAAAAAAAAATTTTGTATATATTTGTAAAAATTTATATATATATATATATATATATATATATATATATATATATATATATATTATA